CTATAAGGGTAGAACTTGCTGCCATGGATTGTTTACAGGTTTGGAATGTTGTGCCGATTCCGTCTGGGCAAACTCTTCTTGGGTCTGTTTGGGTGTTTTGTGTGAAGCATAACGTGGCCGGTAACTTCGTGAAATTCAAGGCCAGGCTTTGTGCTCAAAGCAGTTCGCAGCGCGATGGTATTGACTACGGAGAAACTTATGCTCCGAAGGGCCGTCCTTCTACTCTCCGTGCTGTTCTCGCCTATGGGGTCAACAATCAACTCAACATTCACCAAATGGATGTCAAGAACGCTTTCCTCAATGGAAAGTTGGAAGAAACGGTATATCTTCGGATTCCAGCTGGGCTTGATGCGCCTCCTGGTACTTGTCTTCATTTAGTAAAATTGATTTACGGATTGAAGCAAGCGCCAAGAGTATGGTACCGTGAACTCTCTTCTTTCTTCGGCTCAATCAACTTCTTCCCTTCTGCAAACGACCCATGCCTTTTCAAATCCGCCGATCCTGATTGGACTTGTCTGGTTCATGTGTACGTGGACGACTTGGTTGTAATTTCCGGGGATGTAGCAAGATTCAAGAAATTCATCAATGATCGATTCTTGATGGAAGATATGGGTCCCATCAGTTCTTTGCTTGGAATGAACATTACTCAAGCAAATGATCATCCGTCTTTATCTCAAGCCAACTACGTTACTGAGATTTTAACTGAATATGACTATGTCTCTTGTCAACCTGTCCCGACTCCCATGATTCCGAATACTCGTCTGGTTTTGGCTACTGAGAACGAAGTGGAGGAATTCAATGCACTCGGTATCAATTACTGACAAGCAGTGGGATTGGTAAACTGGGCTGCTGTTGAAACTCGCCCCGACATTGCTTTTACGGTTTCTCAGTTGTCCCAACATCTCAAGCGTCCGGGCATTGTCCATTGGCGCGCGTTCACTCATCTTCTACGATATCTTTCCTCAACTCTCAATTTTTCAATCAAGATAGGGGGTGGAGAAAACAAAATTTCAATCTACGTCGATGCTGATTTTGCGGCTTGTACGGAGACTCCTCGTTCTTACTCCGCTTATCTTGTTCGCTGGGGCGATTCGGTTATCTCGTGGAGGGCTAAAAAGCTTTTGACTCCTTCAACTTCGACAACTGAAGCCGAATATAAATCCTTATATGACGGGATTCAAGAGGCTATCTCTATGCGGCTCTTGTTGGAATCGCTCGGTTTGCCAGTCTACCCCATTCCTGTCTATTGTGACAATCAAGCGGCGATTGCTCTGTCGCGCAATCCTTTATTTCAACAGCGCACTAAACACGTTGATGTAAAATATCATTTTTCACGCGACACGGTTGAAAAGAACTATGTCGACATCCGCTATGTTTCTACGGCAGACAATGAAGCAGACGGTTTCGCCAAATCACTTTCCCGCATTCGTCATCAAGCTTTTCTCGGTTATCTCAAAAATAATCTTCAACAATTTATTGAATCCGAAAATTGAGAACGAGGGGGGGTATTGAACTTTCCGGTTCTTTTCAGTTCTTTCTCTAATTTTCACTCGTACTTTATTCAATTCACACTTTGCGCCGCAGTTATCTGAAACCTAATTGATCTTCATAAAAGCGTTCTCCTTACTTTGTATCAGTCTCTTTCTTAATCAATCAATTGTTTCATCTTACCTCGTCGCTTTGTCACTAACCTCAAACTATCTCAGGTTTGTTTCTTTTATCACTTTCACTAACATCCTATATAGCTTAACCTTGTGATCTTTTCAGGTTTGTGTCTTCAGGTCTTCTCTAGTCTTATCGTGTAGATAAACTGAGATTGCCTTCATCCAAAAGGTGTGTATATGATAAAGCAATCAATCAATTGTTTCATCTTACCTCGTTGCTTTGTCACTAACCTCAAACTATCTCAGGTTTGTGTCTTCAGGTCTTCTCTAGTCTTATCGTGTAGATAAACTGAGATCGCCTTCATCCAAAAGGTTTGTGTCTTCAGGTCTTCTCTAGTCTTATCGTGTAGATAAACTGAGATCGCCTTCATCCAAAAGCTTGTGGTTCATTATGCGGATGGTCCTCAGGACGTCCGGCCCTCTATTTTTTCCCTATTTTTTTGGGAGTTGTTCCTCCAAACCCTTTGACAGTTGGGATTTGACTCCCTAAAAATATTAATAAGAAATATGAAGAACCCCCCAGGGGGATTTTGGGAGTCAATACTCCGAAACCCCATGGGGGGCTGCAAGATGGCGCCAAAAAAAGAAAACCCTCCTCATGGCCAGGAGTGTACCACTCTGAACGGCAGGAGGTACACTCCTGTCTTTGAAGAGTGTACACTCTTGGCTGCCGGGAGGATTCCTCTTGAACATCAAGAGTGTATACTCTCCACATCCCAGAGGATTCCTCTTGGCCATCAAGAGTTTGTACTCTAAATGGCTGAGAGGATTCCTCTCAGCCATCAAGAGTGTATACTCCCAATGTCCGAGAGAACCCCTGTTGGCTGTCAAGAGTGTACCCTCTCAAGGGTATCCATTGCAGATACCCGTTATCTGCTGGCGGATACCCGCCGCCCCCAACGGATACCCCCCAGTGGATGCGGATGGCCCCTTTTCCCTAAAACACTGGCAGATGTCCAGGTATCCCCAAGGACACCTGAGGCAGAGAGGACAAGATGGCCGTCTGGAAGGGTTTTCTTCCAGCTGGCAAGGTACACATGTACCTGGAGAGGTACATGTACCTCGCCACTGGAAGGATTTCCTTCTAGTCAACAAGGTACATGTACCTTGCCGGCTGGAAGGATTTCCTTCCAGTCAACGAGGTACATGTACCTCGCCGGCTGGAAGGATTTCCTTCCAGTCAACAAGGTACATGTACCTCGCCGGCTGGAAGTATTTCCTTCCAGTCAACGAGGTACATGTACCTTGCCGGCTGGAAGGATTTCCTTCCAGTCAACAAGGTACATGTACCTTGTTGACTGGAAGGAAATCCTTTCATCCAGCTGCCTTGCCGCCCATTCAAAGGGCAGGTATCCGTGGATACCCACCTAGGGCCAACAGATACCCGCCAGCGGGTGTGGATGTGGATGCGGATGCCCCATTCTGCTGAAAAGCGGAGGGGATATCCGCATCCGGGAAGATCTCTGGATGGCGGGGGGCCCTTGAGTCAAGGGCCAAGAGAAACCCTGTTGAACATCAAGAGTGTACCCTCTCAACGGTGGAGAGAAATCCTCTTGGCCATCAAGAGTGTATACTAATGTCAGAAAGAAATAATAAACTTAACAATATGTAGAATCATCTCTCTCATTACAGAAAATACATAAGACAGAGATGAATGAGATTAATCAAATGCGAACCATCTCTCTAATTGAGGGATATCAATAGAGGAATAAGATTAATCAAATTTTAAACATCTTTCTCATTACAGAAAATACATACAGAGAGAATATGTACAGTGGGTGGACCGTTATTTTTGGCTGCTTGTTTTGGATCCCAGAGCTTCAAAGCACCAGATTGAAGTCATGAGACTTGGTCAATTGGTGCAGAATAGGTCCCAAAAAATGAATATGAGAAAATAAAAACAAAAAATAAAGTTTCAAAATTTGTGAAAAATGTAAAATAAAATTGATTTTTTTCAAAAGCTTTAATATTCATTTTGGGAGAGTCAGAGTGCTGAGAGAAAGGAAGATTGGGATATTAGAAGAATGATTATGAATGAAAATTTTGGAAAAATTGCTTTCCAGATGGCTTCAAACAGCTGTTGATTGGGGCATTCACCAGCCCACATTGCAGTAAAGCAGTAGTATTTACTGTTTTGGCTCCAATCTGGACAACCAACCTGGCTCAACCTTTTTTGGTTCCAATTTTTTTCATTTATAATCATTCTTACCATGTTCCCCTCTTTCTTTCTCTCAGCACTCCCACTCCCCCAAAATGAATATCAAAGCTTTTGAAAAAAATGAGTTTTATTTTTTATTTTTCACAAATTTTGAAACTTTACTTTTTGTTTTTATTTTTTCATATTCATTTTCTGGGACCTATTATGCACCACCTGAACAAGTCTCATAACTTCAAGTCTGTTTTCCGGAGCTCTAGGGTCCAAAACAGGCAGCCAAAAATAACAGTCTACCTACTGTACAGTCACCTACCAGATGTTTATAGCCAGTTTGCTTGGATTACACAAGCCAAACCCAAAAACTTGAAATCATGATGCTTGGGAAAGTGGTATAAAATAGATTTCAAAAATGATTCTGGAAACACAAATATTAAAAACTGATTTTCAAAATTCCCAGAAAATATTTCAGTTATTGCACTTTTTTCAGAAGTTTTGATATTGCTCCAAATGAACAAATAAAAATGGAAACTGCAGTATAGCATGCTGGAGGAAGGATAATGAATGAAAATTTGGACAGAAATACATTACAGATGGTTTTAAGCTGGTGTGGAGTGAGGCATCCATCAGACTCACAGTGGAAAATACAGTGGAAAGGCAGTATGATCAAATTCTGATTGCATTTTGACCTGGATACTGAGCTCTGAATGATTTCTGGTGTTGTTTTTTCATTTATTATCATTCTTCTTGCATATCATACTACTCTTTCCAATTTTTATTTTATCACTTGGAGCAATATCAAAACTTGTGAAACAAGTGCAATAATTGTAATATTTTTTGCAAATTCTAAATATCAGTTTTTTATATACTTGTTTTCAGAATCATTTTTTGAAACCTCTTTCAAACCACTTGCTCAAGTCTCATGATTTAAAGTTGGTGGATCAGGGTTGTGTAATCCAAACAAAATGTCTATAAACATCTGGTAGGTGATTGTATAGTTATTCCACTTGGACTCAGGTACATCTATCAAGATATACCCCTTCCTTTGAAGTGGTCATTGAGCCATTACACTAAATCAACTCATGGAAATATGAGCCAATGCAGACATTTGGGCATGTCCTACATGTCTTGTGGCTGACAACTAGAGACTGAATGTTACATAGCTCAAAGAAATTGATAAATGCAACTTCTTTTGTAGATGGGGTTCGACACCGTTGAGACGCTACAAACCATTGAATTATAAATGCATTGCTTGATTTGCTCATGACCTGAGGGCTATCTGGAGCCTTGGGATGATGTGTGCCCCGTTAAGCTTCTGGCTCCCAGCCCCCGATTTTTTCCAACCCCACTGGTCCCATCCAGTCTTCCTGCACTCTTGTTCTCATCGCCCCCAGATCCCGTCCCGACGCCGGCACTCTTTAGCTGGTCGATGATAAACGCTTGTGCATCGGTCGCCGATTGACCACCGTACTTCAAATGGTTAGCAATCCCCCCTGACTTTGTACAGATCGGATCACCGGTAAGACAGCAATCCCAAGCAGATGAAACATATTCTTTTGGGACATTGACCGTCATCGATGAGAAGATTCCTCTTCCCGATGTCTGGATCCCACAAGTCAAATAAATCGCAAAAATGGCAATTCATGAGATAATCATATTTTTCAAAGTGAGGGATAACACAATCGCGCCCAAAGGGAAAAAAAAGTTGCTCACCGCATCACATTTGTTCTGTGAAGAACCAGGTTGAAAGTAGGGATTCCCAAACAATACGGTAGCCGCAACTTTATCGGGTGGTAACTCTTTACTGGCTAGAATTTGAGTCTGGACCATAGCCTTTGGATAGAAAAAACAAAAAGTGGACGATGATAGTAATTTTCAATGTGTAATTAGCATAACTGTTCATCAGTGTTCAGGTTGTGGAAAATATTTTCTCACTCCTTTGGAATAACCCATTAAGACAAAGACCATGTTCGGACAATTTTCCATCTGGGATTTGATGTATCTAAGACCGGTTTCCGCTCCATCTTTGGGTGATCTCACGTACTCGGCTGAGCTCGAGTATTGGATGTCCATGAGACCACCGCCCGGGACGGCTTGCTGGACATTTTTTGCCATCTTGGTGTAGGCCAAAGAACTTCCCTGAGGTTCCCCGGTACCTCGAGCACTACAAATGAAACATTATGAATATGGGTAGTAGGTTTAGCAAGTAGTAGTACCCAAATTTACAAATATGGCAATCAAGAGAATAGCAATTTTGCTTACCCCACCATCATGTAATCTTTACATTCACCTGAATCACCAGCCCTATCACCGCCTCCGTTGGCACCCCGTCCCATCGAAGAAAAACCGGTGAACCCGAACTGACGAGAATGAACTGAATTAGAAGGGGAAGTTTGACTAGGGTGAAGGCTACATGACCTATCCTGTAGGTTTATGAAAAATATAAAGATATTGATATTGATTATTCTGCCGAATTCCATGTTCGGGCAATCAAGTCTTGTTAGCTTTTGTAAGAGAAATTTACTAGAATCTTGGAAATGCCCAGAAAAAATTACGTGAACACTGAACAGACTGAAAAAGGGTGGAAATTGGGTATTGTAAGCGACAAGGAAGCTGATTCTAAAGTGAAAGAGAGCTCTTCCGCAAGGTAGAGGGAACTGAGAGACTGCGAAGAGCTACCAGGGCAGTGCGACTTACTATCGGCATGCCACGCCCTCGGGTCTCGCAGCTTGAGCTCACATCCATCGGATCTGACAATTATTGACTAACAAGCAGTTACCAGTTCAAGAGACTCGCTCGGCGTTGGTTGAACAAGTACAACTGTGCCACTCAGTTGATAGCCTCGGTCTCGCGGTCAGTAGCGGGGCAGTCACATGTTGTACTACGGCAAGGTTATATCTCCTTGGATGCGTCCTCTTAATCAGATGTGGGTAACAGCACATGAGTGATCGCCGGTGGTGCTACTAACTTAACCAAGTCCCTACCGCTAGCGCAATTTATGAGGAGTAAGCATCAACTTGCATGAAACTAGATCTCATATTCCGTTGGTAACGCTCACTATTTTAGCAAGAACAAATAAATGAACCGGTGCTGGTGCTATGATAAGGTAATTATTGACTCGACTAGAACTGGAAAAAACAACCAGTTTCTCTAGGGTTTTCTACACTGAAACCTTAGAGACCGTTCTTTATTTTTTGGATCTCAGTCCATCAGGCTTAACCTCTTCATAAGTGACCCATGAAACGGTCTGTTTGATTGAAATAGAGTCACCAAGATGCGTTCGACTCGCAAGGCACTACGTATGAAGATACCTTTTGACTCAACTTTGCGGAGAGGAAACGTCCTCTTCAACAAGTCTTCTTCAAGTTGGAGTCTTGGATGGCACTGGCAGCACTCTGGGCAAGGATTACTCTTTATGAGAAAAAATGTTAGAGCTCAAGCTTACAGAGCTTACAGAAAGCAATAAGAGTTTTGCGTGGATGGAGTCCGAACATTGTTGGGAAGTTGAAAGCCATGAGTTATTTTCTATATACAAATATATTTACATTCGTTGAGTCATTCGCTGGTTTGGACTACATTCTCACTACAGCACCGTTGAAGTCGAACATGACTTATTGATCCAGCTTTGAGTCGGGCTATTGGTCCTGGGATGCAGCGTGCCACGGGAGGGTTCTGGATTCCAATTATCCGCCCATTTTGCCACCCATTCCTCCCATCTTTCCTCCTAGTCCACCCATCTTCGAGCCACTCATCTTGTCATCACCACCACCCCCCATCAAGCCGCTCATCTTTCCGCCCATCTTTCCAGCCGTCTTTCCGCCCGTTTCATCGCCACCACCGCCCATCAAACTGCCCATCTTTCCGCCCATCTTTCCAGCCGTCTTCCCGCCTGTTTCATCGCCACCTGATCCCGTCCCGCCACCGAGTTTCGAGCCCATACCGCCACCGAGCTTGCTCCCCATCCCGCCACCGGACTTGCTTCCCATCCCACCGCCGAATTTGGAACCCATTCCGCTATCGGCCTGGCTATCCGCCCCATCAGCCGCAGAGGCCGCCCCCGTGTCACTCGTCTTATCTGCAGTACCAGCAGCAACTCCTCCGGATCCCCCTCCTTCCTTGATGCCTTTCAACTTGCCGACAATGAACGCTTGGGCTTCAGAAGCCGGTTTACCTCCGTATTTCATATGGGTCGTCATCCCACCCGATGATTGACAGATCATGTCACCGGTAAGACAACAATCCCAAATTAGTGAGGTGTAATCTTTTGGCACCTTAACCATCATGGCTGCTGCGATTCCTTTTCCCTTTTTCTTCATGCCACAAGTTCAAAACATCGAAGAAATTATTAGTTAATGATGACATTTCTTCAAGAAGAAGAAAGTGAGAGTAGAAAACATCTCATAAAACTGCTCACCGCGTCACATTTGTTTTGGGGGGCACCGGCTGTGAAGTATGGATTTCCGAATAGTACTACAGCCACAACTTTGTTAGGTGGTAAGTCCTTGGCGGCTAAAATCTGACTCTGGACCATGGCCTTTGGGTAAAAATAAGTGGGGGGAAGCGATGATGAGGATTTTAAGTCTGTAATTAGCTCAAGCACTCAAAATTTTAGTCGTAGCAGGTCAGCTTACCCCTTTGGAGTAACCCATCAAGACGAAAACCATCTTTGGGCACTTGGAGGCCTGCGCTTTGAGGTATTTGAGGCCGGTTTGGGCTCCCTCTTTGGGTGATTTCATGTACTCGGCTGAACTTGAGTACTGGATATCCATGAGACCCCCGCCGGGAACGGCTTGTAGGACATTCTTGGCCATCTTGGTGTAAGCCATAGAACTTCCTTGAGCTTCCGTGGTACCTCGAGCGCTATAAAAAAAAGTCGGTCATTCTGATGCGGATTATGTATAAAATGACTGAGAGTTGTCCAGTTCTTGCTATTAAGATAATGAAGACGCACTTACCCCATCATCATGTAAGTTTTACATCCACCTGAATCTCCTCCCCCACCAGCGCCTTTCGAAGCAAGGCCGCCCATACCCCCGCCTTTCGAACCAAGGCCGCCCATCCCGGATTGACGAGAGTGAAGTGGATTAGGATGGGAGTTTTGACTGAAAGTTAGGGCATAAGTCCTATCCTGTAGGTTTATAAACAATAGAGAAATACCAATTCTAATAAGATTACCGCGGAATATCATCTTCTAGCGATCCGGGTTTTTAGGCTTTGTAAGTTAAAAAAAGTTATTTACAATACATATAAACAATGCGCCAGCGGAATTGGAGGGTGGAGTGAGTGTGTGGAATCAAGAGGAAGGTTATAAGTGCAAGGTGCCCCCATCAGAGGAGACATGATGAGAGACGACACAGAGTTACCAGGGCCGTTCAACAACTTGATGACGGTATGCCACGCCCTCGGGCCTTGCAACTTGGGTTCCTTTAAACCTGTGAATTGACCAACGAGCGGTTACTGGGCTAAGCGACTCGCCAGGCGCTGAGTGTGTATGTGCCCCCCCTCCCCCCCAGTCATGGATAGCTGGCAGATGATACCCGGAGTCATTACGAGTCGACCTCGCGATTCAACGCCCCGGCAGCTGCGCCTATGTGTGACGCATCGGGACGCTACCCCCCATCTTGCAGCGTATCCCAAGTCCTTCTTGGCTGTCTACTGGAGGCTGCTGGACACATAGCATACCTGGTTCTCTATCTCGTCGTCGTTTTACTTCCCCGTCTCAATCACAAAGTATTGAAACACAAGCATTCCACGCATGACCTTGTCTTGCTTTACGCGGTTTATTACAGCGATCATATGCGCAATAACATCCTCTCAAAAAGCCAATGATGTTCCACTCTCACTCCAGTTATTTTCTGTCACTGTAGAGAGCCACCTCTTCAAAAGGCGTATAATCCTTGTGCGGTGATTTCGGTCAAGTAGCCGACTTGAACGAAATAGTTTCGAGTCGCCCTCCTGGCCAGATGTAAAGCAACATCAGCTGATTTCGAATGTGATCAGGCTTGAGGGATGTGTAGGATTTTGAGCAATATCGAACAGTATTCTGGAAGATAGTTTACAATAGTAAGCTCTGTTTCGACATGAACATGCGGTACTCACCAATTTCCCGGATGATCTGTGATTTTGGAAAGAAAACATTAACTTAACTTTGACTGGACTCAGATGGCCATTGTTTTTCATTCAAGAAGATGCTTCCAATTTTGGAGCCAGGTATACCAGTTCTACAAAATCTTGACATGATTCGTGATCCTTATCAAGCTTCCTTGGGACCTGGTGTTTATCAGATTGGCAGAAGCACACTGGGAGGAATCCCTCTCATCAATCTGACTTTCTACCTTTGTTCCTGGGGTAATCCTCGGCAGAAATCTGGCACAGAAGAATGCCTTATAAGTTATGGGAGGGAATCCCTCCTGATGATCTGATAACCCGCTCAGCAGCAGGAATTGGCTACTAGCTATGTATGTCTGAGGCTAACCAGGGCGTTGCTGACCTGACGTAATCAGACCATAACATACTATTACAAAAGTGAAAGAAGTATTAATTGAGGGCATCAATAGTAATAAACACCTTGGAATCCTCAGGAGAGCGTAGGGTAGGACTAGCTACTTGAAAGTTAACAGTGAGGATGCATGAAGAGTGTTTTTTTTTCTCTAGAATCTCAGAAACAACAAACTGTACAGATGACAGACTACAAATCACCCAACAATTAAAATACAGTGAGATGAGACCTGACAATCCAGGAATTTCAAGAGAGCGCATCTGAATGATTAGAAAGAAAAGAAAATCCTTGGGGGAGTTTTTAAGAATTCTGACAAAAAAGACATGTGGGTCGTGATCACTCTTTGTGGATAATGAGGTGGATAATGAGGAACATTGAAGCTTCATCTCACAGGAAGCAAGAAGAGCTTTTTGTGGATGGAATCCGAACTTTGCTGGGATTTGAAGCTTCCATAACACATTTCCTGTATATTACACATGTACATTTGTTGAGTTGTTTAAATGTGGTGTGGACTCCTACTTCCACCGCCGAAGCCAGGCCTAGCCGGGCTTCACTTCGCCATTCAGCTTCAAGTCCTGCTATGAGCCTCGGGATGCGGCGTGCCAGGCTAGGCTTCGGGCTCCCAGTCCACCGAGTTTCCCGCCCAATCCTCCCATCTTTCCCCCACCCATATCGCCGCCCGGTTTCGAGCCCATCGACTTGCCGGCCGCTCCACCGCCGGAGTCCGCTCCACCTTTCCCATTCGTATTACCACCCGCAGCTCCTCCGGGACTGCCACCTGCCTTTACTGCTTTCAACTTACCAACAATAAACGCTTGTGCGTCAGACGCTGGTTTGCCTCCGTATTTCATATGGCTCGTCATCCCCCCCGACGTTTGGCAAATCATATCACCAGTAAGACAGCAATCCCAAATGATTGAGGTGTACTGTTTCGGCGCCTTAACCCCCATCGATGATGCAATTCCTTTTCCCGTTTTCTGCATACCACAGTTTCAAACCAACGCAAACAGTCATTATCAATAATGTTGAAGCAGGTACTACAAAAGAACCCAGAAAACTGCTTACCGCGTCACATTTGTTTTGGGGGGCACCAGCTGTGAAGTATGGATTTCCAAAAAGTGCTACAGCCACAACTTTGTTAGGTGGTAAGTCTTTGGCGGCTAGAATTTGTGTCTGGACCATGGCCTAAAAGGGGTCGAGGAAGTAAATGATAAACTTTTGTGATTAGGGCAATGATTTTTTTTGTTTTAATTTTAATCATGGCAAGTCGACTTGCCCCTTTGGAGTAACCCATCAAGACGAAAACCATCTTTGGACACTTGGAGGCCTGTGCTTTGAGGTATTTGAGGCCAGTTTGCGCTCCGTCTTTGGGTGATTTCATGTACTCGGCTGAACTTGAGTATTGGATATCCATGAGCCCTCCTCCCGGAACGGCTGCTAACACACTCTTGGCCATCTTAGTGTAAGCCATAGAACTTCCTTGAGCTTCCGTAGTACCTCGAGCACTGTGAAAAACCAAAAATAAAATTGAGGAACAGTCGTTAATCTCGTTATGAATCATCCAGAAAAAGTACTATCGGTTCAATTCTTGTTGTCACAATAATCAAAAAGCACTTGCCCCATCATCATATAAGTTTTGCATCCACCTAAATCTCCACCCCCGCCTTTTGACCCCAGTCCAGACTGACGTGATTGAAGTGAAAGAGTATGGGAATCGTGACTGAGATTCGGGCTACATGTCCCATCCTGTAGGTTTATAAACAGTAGATAAATAATAGTACTAATAGATTTGCCGAATATCATCTTCGGGCGATTGGGCTTTTTGAGACTTTGTAAGGTAAAACTGCTAATTGCGCATGTATAGAAGATGTTCGTAAGAAAAAAAAGGGGGTCAATACGGATGGTGATCTTGAAGAACATTATAAAACGCAAGATGCCTCCATGTATTGTAAAGGAGGAAATGAGACATGACGAAGAGTTACCAGTCAGTTTCTTAGCTGATAGCGCTATGCCACGCCCTGGGGCCTTGCAACTTGAGCCCACAGCAATGAGACCAACGAGAAGTTGGTGAGTCATGAAGCGACTCGCTAGGCGTCGAGTGTGTGTGTACCTCCGTGGTCATGGATAGCGCATCATAGCGGCCGGATATTACCCGGAGTCATTTCATTACAATTTCGCGACTCAACGCCCCGGCAGCTGCGCCCAAGTGTACATAACTCATCGGGCCGACGCTACCACCCACCTTGCAGTATCCAGATGTTAGACGACGCCTTCTCACTGCCTGCTGGGGGCACGGTGGAGGACACCGGCCAGTGTCCTACACGGAGGGGGAGGGCACAACCCATCTCGTCGGGAGGAATCCCTCCTGACGAGATGATGTACATCCAATCTCGTTGGGAGGAATCCCTGCGGTCGAGATGGTGTACATCCCGTCTTGTTGGGAGGGATTCCTCCCGTCAAGCTGCAATTTACACCAGCTCGCCGGGAGGAATCCCTCCCGACCATATGGTCTACAACCCAGCTCGTCACCTGGCGAGATGGGATGTACACCAGCTCATCGGGGGGGATTCCTCCCGACAAGATGGTACACAACCCAGCTCTTCTCTGGGAGAGAGCCCTCCCGGCGAGCTGGTCTCGACGACTGGAGGAAACACTCCAGCCAACGAGACTGTATTCGGTCTTGACGGCCGAAGAGAGCCGAGGCAACCCTTTGGCCGTCAAGACCATGTTCAGTCTCGGCGACCGGAGGGTTTCTCAAGGGGTTGCTTCCCCCACATCATCAGGTCGGGTGTAAGGTGGGTACTAACTTGAGACAAGTCCCGCGGGCCTGGTGACCTTGGCTGTAAGAAATGGTAAAATCGATTACTTTTTTAAATAGTTTATTTAACTCAATAGAAGTAACAATCTTACAAAAGAAAGAAGATAAGTAAATTGTGACTTATATGAACAAAAAATAAGAAAGAAAGAAATACCTGAAAGACTAAATCAGAATATAACAAAACTCTCAACACGATAAAACGACGTCGACTTCAAAACACAAGGATTATCACAACGCACTAGCCTGTCAGAGAGATTGATAAAAGAAACGGTCAATACAATGTAGAACAGTCAATCAGATAGAATTGAAAGAACTACCTGCCCAGAAGCTAGAACTAGCTCCTCCTAAGTGTCAGAAGCGAACGATAGTTGAATTGAAGTATGGAGCTTGATTGATCAGCGAATAAGATTGATGACCTCGGTGGTTTTTGATTGATCGATGATTGATTGATGGATGAGTCAGAGCAACAAGGAAGGGGAAGAAAATGATCGGCGAGTTGGAAGTTGCTTGCTCAGAAGATCGAGTGACTGAGTGGATGCGGGATCGAAAGTATGACGACTGAGAATTTGACATTGAATATCCTTATGAATAAAAATACTCACTGTGCCGAGTTTAAAACTCAACACTCCTCCTAAACACACACATTTGTCAAATGTAATTGTTTGAAAGCAGAAGCTAATTTAATTTTGCCGAGCGGTTTAGTGAGAATATCCGCTATCATTTCAAGGGTCGAAACTTGCAAAATCTTCATTACTTTGTTTATCATCAGTTGGCGAATGTATTGAAAGCGAATTTCAATATGTTTGGTGTTCGGATTCAATTGAGGTTCTTTACTGATAATTACCGCACCGGAGTTATCGTTGAAAATGATTGGAACATCGATTGGTATGTTGAGAGATGTGATGAGATTGGAAAGCCAACGAAGTTGTTTTGCACATTTGTTGATAGCGATAAATTCAGCTTCAGTCGTCGATTGTGCAACTACAGATTGTTTCTTAGTTGTCCAAGAGACCGGATTACCAAAGAAAGTAATAACATATCCAGACAAAGACTGTTTGGTGACCAAAGACGTCCTGTAGTCGGCATCAGCCCAACCGCACAAAGCATTCGCTGAGCTATTTTTGGTATAAATGATACCTACATCCATCGTACCGCGGAGATAGCGCAAAAGATGTTTGACCATAGACCAGTGAGATTGAGTTGGAGACGAAGAAAATTGAGCTAGGACATTGACAGTAAAGGCGATGTCAGGACGAGTGTGAAGGGCGAGATAATTTAACATTCCTACAGCCTTTTGCATGAGTTTCACGTCGATTGGTGGTGCGTCTGTAGCAATCACACGATGAAAATTTAAAGGGGAAGGAGCTTTGACTGAGTTCGAATCCATCATTCCAAATTCTGTCAAAATTTTTTCGGTGAAGTTAGATTGATGAATGAAAAGTGAATTATCCGAATTCCACACAAGATTATAACCTAAATGTTGAGCTGGGCGCTCTTTGATCTTGAGTTTGTAGGTCTTCTGAAGATTGTCAAGAAATCGTAAAATGGCCGATTTAGACTTGCCAACAATAAGACCATCGTCAACATGCATATGTAACAAGATCGAGTTGTCCAAATTGTGGAAAAGTGCATCATCGATGATTGAAGCAGTAAAACCAATTGAATTGAGTGTAGAAACGAGATGAGCTTTCCACATTTGAGGAGCTTGTTTCGTGCCGTACAACGATTTTTGAAGTTTCCAAACCCAACCTTTTTTAGCCGGATCAGGGTCTTCAAAACCAAGAACTTGAGATACGTATATCGATGCGTCAATGTCTCCATAGAGAAATGCTGTCTCAACATCGAATTGAAAAACATGTAGATTCTCATTCACTGCGAGAGACAGCATCATCTTAAGAGACTTGTTCCGGGCAACAGACAAATAAGTTTTGAAATAATGCAGCATGTGTTCTTGATGATTGCCGAAAACCACCCATCGAGCTTTGTGTCGAGTGATTTTGTTGAATTCATTAAGTTTTTGAGTCAGAAGCCACATGCCCCCAATAATTTTATCATCTGCTGGAGGCGGCGCAAGAATTCCAGTGTTTTTATCTTGTAAAGAGTTGAATTCTGAAGAAAGAGCATCGTCCCAGTCGGCTAGATGATCTTTGTCGTTCATTGCTTCATTGATGGTTACCGACTGAGTAAGATTCAATTCAGGAAATTCGGAATCGATAACAACATTCAAGTCAGGGAGAGCTTCATTTTTTCGACGCGAGCCTTCAATAATGTTTGAGGGATCAATTTTTGAGCTGATATCTTTCGGAGCTTTTTGATCAGCTGGACCCCAAGTATAGACGAAACGCTTTGTAGGAAGAAGTCCAGATGGTGGAAATGAAGAAGTTGAAGTTGAGTCAGTTCGGGTGTTGCGAATAGAAGTTTCGAGGGAAGGTGATTCAGGAATTGAGGGAAGAATTGGAGGAGACGAAAGAGCAGAAGGTGTCGCAGAAGGTATTGGAGTGATCTGAGTTGAAGTAGATTTTAAATCAGATGATTTATCCTCTGGAACATAGATTGAGACATATCCGTCTTTGTCGGATGCACATGAGGAGGGCAAAGTCGAAGATAACTTTTGCATGGCATCTTTAGAGTTATAGGCGAAAGTAAGAACAGAAGGAGTGTAATCTCGGCTGACGACAATACGACGAGAAATAGGATCTAGAAAACGCATGGCATCTGATCGGGGCTCATAGCCGAGAAAAAGAAGAGGCTTTGATGGAGGGAGAATTTTTGATGATGGTGATTGATTGTGGACGAAAACTTTCAAACCGAAAGGAATCAAAGAATGAACATGTCTTACTTGTTCGATGTTAGACTTGAGTTCGACCAGGATTGACATGGGAGATCTCCAATTTAACGAAACTGAAGGGAGCATGTTGATGAGAGTTGACGCGTACTTTGCTGTTTCATCCCAGTAATTGAGAGGAACATTACACTGAGCAAGCATACATCGAATTTTGATGAGAAGGGTTCGATTAAAATGTTCCGCAAGTCCGTTGGTTTGAGGAGAATTTGCTGGACCTTGTTCGAGAGAAATACCGCTATCGAGCAAGAAGTTTTTGAAAAGAAGGGAACCAAATTCACCACCTCGATCGGTGTGAATTATTGCTGGAGTTATGTCGATTTGATTTTTTATTTCCTTGATAAATGACATAATTCTAGATTCGGATTGATCCTTCTTCTGCAAGAGATAAATTCGATTGAAACGTGAAAAATCATCTATCAATACCAAAACATATTTGAAAGATCCTCGAGAAACTGGAGTGATCTGCAACAAATCCATATGAATGGTATGAAACGGCGAAGAACTAGTTGGTAGGGGATTTGAATGAGGAGAACGCTTTAGTTTAGCCATTCTACACACCTCACAAGCGGTCGAAGAGCCCGTCTTATCATTTGGAGGAATCTTCATAAGTTCAAGGAATTTCTTCACGTATACATCCGACGGATGTCCAAGAATTATATGCCAATCCTTGAGAGAATGTTTTTCCGTGATTGCTAGTAGAGAATCTGATGTGAAATATTTTGAACTTGAAGATATATATAAATCGCCAGTCCGAGGAAATTTTTCGACAATCGTAGAATCCATACAGACATTGATGAGTTTGTTCTTGTGAAAAATTTGGAAACCGTGATCTTCAAGTTGAGAGACTGAGATGAGATTACATTTACCAGCAGGTGCAAGGTAAACTGGATAAAGTTTGTATTTTCCGAACTTCATCGATCCAATATGAGTTATTTCAATTGAACCAGAGTATGTTTTCATCTTCTTGTCAATCGGTTTCAGATCGGATAAGAGACGGACATCAGATACCGTAGACTTTGATGCACCGGTGTCAAGAACCAAACGAATATCTCTGGAATCTTTGGATGTGAGATGAAAATTCGTATCTTCACCAATAAAAAAACAATCGCCCTCTCGAATCTCGTCCAAAACTTGAACTTGAGGTTCATCAGATTCATCTTGATCACTTGATTCTTCAATGGCATTCAAATCGGTCGATTGCAATTTCTTCTTCAGAGCTAGAATTTGATCTTCAATCAATTTTTTGACGTCCGATTTGTTCTTTTCTGAAGATGATGATGAAGTTGAAGTAGGTGGTCGATTTTTGGTTGGCACGACGTTTCTGAACTTAGATTGAGGAACTTTGAATTTGTCTTTGTTTGGTCGAGAAGAATTTTTTGAAGATAGAACATTGATTGATCCAGAAATACGATCAGATCGTGTATCCTCAATGTTCATTCGAATCGCTAGCTTCTCAAATGTGAATGGAACGATATCGTACAAGTTCTGAATCAGAGCTGCAAGAGTATCATCATGTCTGAAACTTTTAAGAAAAATTTTCCAGCCATTTGAGTATCAACTACCATGCTAGTTGTATTCGAAGCGACAAGAGAAGATTTCAACATGGTATAAAGATTTTGAAATTTTGAAGTATGTGCTCCAATCGATGTACCAGGAACATAATCGCAGCAGAATAACAAGAAGAGTTTGTCGCCGACTTTGATCAACGATTGTTCGCCACAAGTTTCAGCAAGATCGCTCATAGCGTTATTGAACGTATCGGCGGCGGCAGCGACAGGCTTCAAATCAGAGGAGAGACACGATCGAAGAAGAGTGAAAGCGAGCGCCGATTTCTTTCGATAGACTTTTTCCTTAGCATGGATTTTACACCATGCTTCGTCAAAGATTTCTTCATGACCCCGACCAGTGAGAAGATCAACAAAGAACTTTTTCCATTCGGTCCAATTGTCCCGAGTGAGTTTAAGCATTGAGACCTTCTCATGACGTTCATCATCGCTTGATGATTCATCGATCGGTGATACCGCCGGATAGATCGACATCTTATTCGCTTGATTTAAATCTAAAGATTGTTCTTACTTTGAGTTAAACTATCAAGTATCGACTCTCGCTACCATGTAGGAAATGGTAAAATCGATTACTTTTTTGAAATAGTTTATTTAACTCAATAGAAGTAACAATCTTACAAAAGAAAGAAGATAAGTAAATTGTGACTTATATGAACAAAAAATAAGAAAGAAAGAAATACCTGAAAGACTAAATCAGAATATAACAAAACTCTCAACACGATAAAACGACGTCGACTTCAAAACACAAGGATTATCACAACGCACTAGCCTGTCAGAGAGATTGATAAAAGAAACGGTCAATACAATGTAGAACAGTCAATCAGATAGAATTGAAAGAACTACCTGCCCAGAAGCTAGAACTAGCTCCTCCTAAGTGTCAGAAGCGAACGATAGTTGAATCGAAGTATGGAGCTTGATTGATCAGCGAATAAGATTGATGACCTCGGTGGTTTTTGATTGATTGATGATTGATTGATGGATGAGTCAGAGCAACAAGGAAGGGGAAGAAAATGATCGGCGAGTTGGAAGTTGCTTGCTCAGAAGATCGAGTGACTGAGTGGATGCGGGATCAAAAGTATGACGACTGAGAATTTGACATTGAATATCCTTATGAATAAAAATACTCAATGTGCCGAGTTTAAAACTCCACATTGGCTTGCTGGCGCCACTCGCAAAGCGAGCCTCCGAAGGAGGGACTTGTGACAAATACGCACAAGCTCGCGTGTCAATATTGACATGTTTTGGTGTAGCAAATTTTGGATTGCCCACCATTCATGTAGTTTAACTTTTTTTTCAGGCAGATCCAGCATGGTCAAAGTTGACCATGTTGCAATTCTCCTTATCTAGATTTTAGAAATACAGCTATTCTGG